CTGATAAGAACAAGATTTCGGGAACCAGCAGTTAGCGTAATGGCTATGTCGCTGGACTCCCACGTAGTCGACCGTGGTTCGCGTCCCGGACCCGGTGGCTTAAAAAACTCATGCCGGGCACGTGTGCGTGTGTGCCCAAGATCCCGAGAGGAGAATGGAATGGAGGAGAAGGGATTGTGGCGTGACCATCCCCCCAGGGGTGATTTCTCGCTTTCTGTCTCTGTGTCTCTCTCTGTCTGTCTGGCAAGCGCACGTGCCCTATAGCGAAAATCTCTCCAAAAAAAAAAAAAAAGAACAAGATTTCAAAAATCATAAACAGAAGTTAAAAGTTGTTGGCCTAGGCCAGCCAGTGGCATGGTGGTTCAGGTAGTTGGATCTTACATGGCTGGCTATACAGTTCAAGTCCCAGACCCTATGGTTTAGAAACACACTGGGCGCATGGGTATATGTGTGTGCCAAAATCCCAAAAGGAGAGAGATTTTGGAGGGATTGCAACATGACTGCCCCCCCATACAGGGTGCTTTCTCACCCATGCCCTCCGCACCTTCCACATCTCCCCCCCACCCCCATCAACTCTCTCCAGCAAATATACACTCACCCCGGCAAAAAAAAAAAAAAAAAAAGTTGTCAACCTGGACCCTAAATCCCTAAATGCTGTTCTGAACAGGATTTGAAAACATTGTAAGCAAGTAAATATTTTTTCTTTCTCTTTTAAAAATCTAGAGTTTGGGGGCCAGCAAGTGGCATGGTGGTAAAAGGCACTGGACTCCCACATGGCCGACCACAGTTCAAGTCTTAGACCTGGTGGCTTGCTTTCTCACTTCCTCTCTCTCTGTCTCTCTCTGATCAAACTGGAAAATAATAATGGTGATAATAATAAAAGTTAAATAAAATAATTATTTAAAAAAAAAAGAAACTAGAGTTTTGATTGGACAAGTAATACATTGTCACTCCAGAAAAAGGAAGTGGAATAAAAGGAAAGCAAACATCGTGCTGTTAATTTTACATTCTAGATGTAACCTCCCTCCCCATTACAGTTTAGTTTATTTACTTCTAGGTTTTTTCTGCTTACATATATGACTAATTTCTAAATCTCCTAATAAAGGTAGTTTCTAGCATTCGCCGTCACTAGATTGCTTATTTGACTGATTAGAGGAAACTGAAGAGCAAACCCCTTAAACTTTCTAGCCTTACCTAAAACTATGGGGTTGCACTGGATCTGCAAATCAGTTTGGGGAGAACTGACGTCTTAACAGTACCAGATCTCCTGAACCAGGAACAATGTCTGCTCTCCAGTTATTTGGTGTTTATAATGTACATCTTTAATTTGCCACTGTACAACTTTAAGGGATTATACCATTTCATAGGTATTACAGTTTAAAAACCTCGTATTGGCATACTTCCATTTTCCTGCTCCCAGTTTTTATGGTATTGAGTAAAGATATGGGATATCTTTACTTTTTTTGTTGTTTATTTAGACAGAGAGAGAGAGAGAGAGAGTACCCCCAATAGGGTCTTGATACTATGATCCACTCCCGGTCTCAGCTAGCCCCAGATTATGACATATGTGAGCCCAGTGTATGCAGGGAGGTCTCCAGACAAGAAACTAGAACCTTCCCATATGGGTCAGCCTGGCAGTGTCACCACATCCAGCCACTGTTGTCATGTAGTTACTTACATGTGTGATAAACAATACATTGTCGCTATGTTTATTTAAGCAAAGTTATTTTAGTAACCTCTTAAAGATATTTAAGCAATAAGGAAAAACATCATATATTTTTCACCTATGTACTTTATCATTCTTAGTCTTCTTCATTCTTACGTCTAGATCCATTTTTACATCATTTTGTGTCATTTTCCTTCTGCCTGAAGAACTTCTTTAACATGTCTTATAATGCAGGCCTGTTGGTGATAAATTCTTTCTTTTCTTCTCCTCTTAGGACTTTGGACAGGCATGTGCACTTGCCCATTGTGTCTTTCAAGCCACCAAGTCCAGGATTCCAACCACAGAGTCAGCCATTTGGAATCCAGTACCTTAACTGCCACGCCACCTGTTGGCCCATCTTTCTTTTTTGCTTTAACGTCAGCTTTATTTTTGTTTTTGTTTCTAATCGCCAGAGTGTGTGTGCACTCACTAGAGAGAGAAGAAGAGAAAGCACCCCTTAATGGGGTGTGGTCAGTTCACAGTCATTTTCCCTTTATCCCTCTGTGTCATTAGGACATACACACCTAGGGTATTCTTAAAACTGCTGGGCCCAGAACTCAAACCATGGTCAGCCATGTGGGAATCTTGCTCCCTTAAACTGCTGCACTAAGGGGCTGGTACTGTCTTCATTTCTGAAATAAATTGTTGCTGGGTCTAAAATTTAAAGTTGACAGTTTATAGATATACAGTTTTATGGTCCAGCAGCTGTATTTTAAAGACAGTATCTTAAAGATATTCCTCCATTGTCTTCTCACTTGCATTGTTTCCAGCAAGAAATCTGCCATCATTGCTATTTTTGTCTCTTTGCACATAAAGTGTTTTTTCCCCTCTGACTACTTTTGTTTTTACTATGATTTTTTTTAAATTTGCTAGAGGGCGCATATCCTCACTGGAGAGATACAGATTCAGAGAGGGAAAGCAAGAAACCACCCCCTGAGGAGACATTCACACTGGAATCCCTTCTCCATTTCTCCTCTTGGGATTTTAGGTACACACACACACATGCACCTAGCAGGTTTTTCAAGCTGCTGGGTCTGATACTGACACCGTTCAGTCATGTAGGATCCAGCTGCTTTAACCACCACACCTTGGGCTGGCCCTTTTAGGTGCTTTTAAATTTTTTTTTTTTTTTCAAATCACTGGCTTTGAGCAATTTAATTATGATTTTCCTAGGAATAGACTTAAGGGTTTTTGTTTGTTTGTTTGTTTTTTAGTGTATTTACTTCTTCTATGAGAGAGGGAA